GATATTGTTTTTGCCTTCCTTCACGGTTCGGTGCGAAACACCGAACCGTGAAGGAAGGCAGGGACTAAATTGAAAACAAACATCTTAAAAAGCTTCGGTCTTCCTGAATCAAGTCCCGATGCAAAGGAACACTTCAGCAAAGTGGTTAATTGGGCTAGTTGGCTCATAGTTTAAAAAAGTAGAAAAGCACCTTTTGTTGTCTTGCTTTGGCTTGGTTTTTGTTATCACCGGTGCTTTTATATTTTTTGAGGAAACAATTATTCTGCTTCAGATAAGGCGACATGACAGTTTCATCGTAGCAACAAGCGTCACACCGGTTTCACACGCGCTTGGTAGGCTGACAAGTGAAGGCTACCTCCCCAAACTAATATATATACTACGGTTTTCTCGGCGTCTGGAGGGTGCTGACTCAAGACGTCATGTTCGCATTTTCATTGTTTTCTTTCTCGGGACTCCTGCCAGCGGTAGCGCTTGCTCGATGGGAGATCCTCAAAACACTCACAAAGACGCTCAGATGCAACCTCATCTCGACGCATCCCCCTTCGAGACATCTTTATAATGCTCAGGTGTGTATGACCCAACGCCGGGTGATTTGGCACGTCTCGACATCCGAGGTTAAACACGTCTTTCTACCTTCCACCTTCTGGAATGTGCCAGGACCCGCATGTGTTCACATTCCTTTTTTCGAATACATTACGCTAACCCCTTACTACCCTTTGCAAGCATAATGCCCGCGCTCACACACTTGCGTTTGCTTACGACCTAGTTATTGCGATCTAACGCGAGAACACTTCACATCGACACGCTGGCGCCATCTATGAGGTGACCATGAAAGTGCATTGCTTAAAAGCGAAGGTTTTGCGGTACTTGCGAGATGAAATGTACGTTCTACATAGGAAATGGTCGTTTATAACAATGTCAAAAGTGTTTAGGCACAAAAAGCAAAAAAAAAAAAAGAAATAATGCGCTTAAAAAGTGGAATTATACGTTGAAATGCCAAGTGTTCCACCGCGACCCGATAGATGGCACCAGTGTTTTTTTTGTCGTAAGAGATCTCAAGAGGTCTTAATGCGCTCAGTCGTGACCAGTCGGAAGTGTGTTTTCATTCGCTTAATTACCTCTGTATGCAAAAAAAAAAAAAAAAAAAATTGTCAGGGAAATCGATTTGTGGCTTATCTTAAAGGTGCTAAGGAAAGTTTCAGTACCGAAAACAACCATCAGCCTTTAATTATAAGCTTAGATTGAACTTTAATTAGAAGTAGAGAGGAATGCAGTAACGATTGTTGGCTCCCAAATATAATGATTTTTTTTTTTTATTTTTTTTTACATAAAAAATATAATTACTTGTATCTAGAGGTTCTAGTCCTCGGCGTTTATTTTTGGTATGATTCGGCGTGATAGATGGAAACTTATTGGTTTCCATGCGACTTGGGCGTAACGAGTGGTCTCGGTAGCATCGCCCTCAAAGAGGGTCATATTACACACATAAGTGGTGCCTGCATTCCGGTTAACTTTGCGGTTTTTGGGTGTACCAGAAACCTAGAATCAAATAATAATAAACGCCGAACATTGAACTGAACTTTCGGCATTTAATTTCTTCGACCGATTCAATAGGGTAAATGTCGGTTAAAGTAAAATTTATTTACGAAGAAAATTAACACAACAGGAAATTAGTTAAATAAAGTTGGTGTGGTCGCTGTAGAGGGCCAATTTTGAAGGACTCTTCTACTGTACTGGTCAAAGGGCTTACATTTATCGATATTTTTCGGTAAATGCCGAGAGCCAAGAACCCTACCTTCAATTAGAATCATACACGTCTGCTACACAAGCAGCGTGCGCGAAAGAGCGACATCGCTCAACCTTCGCGGCGCTCCAAGGTTCACTGTCTGCGCGTGGTTTCAAGGTTGCCATGCTTGAAGCTTCGCTCCTCCTGGCTGTGCACTTGGCATTTGAGCACTGTCGGGGCGCCAGTGTCCCTTCAACGTCAGTCTCCCTATCTGGCCTCGTCACCAGACATACCGAGCCCGTGACAGATGGATAGCGGTAACTCAGCACTCTTCTAAATGGAGGCCGCACTTTCTTTTTGTTGCTTGGTCCCGGCCCATAAAGAATCTTCCTCGTTGACCTGAAAGCCGTGTTCTAGCGCAGCATTAAACGAACGTTCACAGAATTTATTTGCTGTTTTTTTTCCTCCGGGTTATCGTCTCAATGCAATCAAAAGGAAGTGGCGAGTGTAGTGGGAGTAGAGAATCACTTATTGATTGGAGAGGCATGGAATGGAGTGGCCGCGGAACGGCTGAGGGTCCCACGCATTTATGCATTCGAGAATAGGGCGCAATGCAAAGTTCAACGGAAAACAATATTTCTTGTCTACCCTATGTTGTCCGATATGTTCATCGATGTTTTCCTAGGCTACCCCGTTGTTCCTTACTGGCCGCGAAATTGGATCGCGACGCGCGCTTCTGTGAAGAGAGGGACCGCTCTCTTTTTTAAATTGACATTACCATGAAGCACAGCGGAGGGTACACCGGCAGGAGGTGGAAACATTGGAAGGCTTTGGTCCTGTGCTCTACACAGCTCGTGCAACGAAAGCAACTTTCAGGACTTGGGATCCTAGGTTGTATGTGTAACCTTCACCTGTGGTGTGAGCAACGTATGAAGGAACTAATGAATGCACAGACGCACGGGCCGGTCTTTATTATGGCATACCGAAATATTTTGTTTGGTTCAATGCGATATCAATTTTCTTTTCGACTAACAGAATGAGTTGCATGTATGCTAAGAGACAACCACGCTCGCAATTTGGTGGCTTTACAGGTTTCATCTCATAAAGGTGCATACATTATGCACTTTCGAGCAGCAATCATTTTTCAACGATAAGTATCTATAATTAGTATCAATAAAAACTGACTGAGGCGGAGTTTAGAAAAAAAAAAAAGATATCACAAAGCGATAGCGAGTTGGAATTTTAGTGACTAAAGACGTTTCCACTGTTTACAAGAATCAGTCCACACGTGCTAAATCACAGCTCAACCAGCATTCGCTCGCAATTATGGCCAGCCAGAAAGTGAGCGTGCATAACACACGAACACAGAGCAATGAACGCGCCCTCATATGCTTTTATGGAAGGGTGTATATGGCGGATTGTAAGACAAGAAAACTAGCAAGAGCCAGAAACGTTATATTCGTAGTACATATGCAGCAATGAGGGCAGTCTATTTTTTGTTTTTACTTTTTTATTTTAAATATATTGATGACTTTATCGCAGTCCGCCCTGTTTCATATGACGTCTGGCTCGTCAAGGCCGAGTGCGGCTCACGGATTGGACACGAGCATGCGTCACCGGTCGGCTCGTGTTCGGGAACCGTCAGAGAGTATTTAGGTTCGCAGGCGCGGCCAATAAATGCCGTGACGGTAACCGCCAAACTCTGTGTTCAGCACAGCGCGTGTTCTGAGCATTGTCAAGTTTTGCACGTGGCTATGGTGAATATTGCCGGCATGAGCTAGGAACACATGTTTATCCGGTGTTTTCTGGAACGACTAAAAACGAAATCGTGTCTTATGAACTTGCGCTAGTCAGGTACACGTATTTACTAGGTCAGTAAGTTTTAGAGATGTTGACACAATCCAGCATCTTCAAAAAATTTGATCCCGAGAATAATTACGTATAAAGAGAATCTTTATTAGCTATTCTCGCTGATATGCTGTTTGGGAGTTCAGACACAAAGCAAATAAAAACGATTTTAGAGTTCGTGGTAACAGTCTGCAAGGAGAAGGTTTGCAAAAACCTTAATATCTCGAAAGTTATTCCTAAAGAAGCTGATCATTTTATTCTTCCTTCCTGACACCATTCCTTTTATAAGTCCATTGAAATTTACCCCAAAATACATATTTCCTGATCTTATTGGTTCTCTCGATCAGCTCGAGCATGACGGACAGCGAAAGCTCGTTCTGACATTCACCAATTCCGTCTGCTGTGGTTCACACGCCTCAGTTTTACTAATTTGATTTCTTCGCTTATGTACCTTTAGATAAGCCGAATGCCGTTAGCCTTACGTTCCCTCCGCCAGGCGGTGCACAATGGCCCTGGTAAGTTGACTATCCAGTGGATCGTTTTGAAATAGAAACGCGTGAACTACAAGTTGCTCTCACGGGAAGTGGACAACAGGTCGTCTCCTGAGCGCACCGTCCAGTGCAAGAAGTTGCGAACAACAGCAACCCCAATGCGCGCGAGTGCAGTTCACCGGTTTCGTTTCTGCAACTGGACGGCGGACGATACGTTTCAGATTGACACAAAGACACTATCTCGCCCACGCATTTTCACTTTCATCGGTACAGAGCCACTTGGTTTATAAATTATAAGGTTGGTTTCTTTTCCTGCGCACGTCGCAGAGTGTTGACTGTGTGGATTTGCTCAGGGAGTTGTACACAGCAAGAGAACTATCGGTGACTTTCTATCTTTTTCTTATTTGGCAGTTTGGCCAACACCTTCAAGGGGTTGGCCAGATATCATCTCCCAGGCCTTATCCAGGAGCTGTTCGTTTAGCTTGCTGATCTTTTTGCGTCCAAATGTCCTGGCTAGTGGTCCTGGCAATAGAAACGAGAGCTCATTATTCGGCTCACTTTCAAAGTTTCGACGGTTTCAAACCAAAAATAATGATACTTTTTTTTTCCCCTTCTGTTTGTGCTCGTAGGATGAGGGGGCAGGCACACCTCTTCTCTTCAGTTTCCGAAACGGCTCAGTTAAATCTTGGCTCTGAACGAGACACACGTCCAACACAACGGGGAAAAAACAAACAAAAAACCGTTGTCTTTTTTCTTCCCTAGTTCTCCGCGATCTTTCGTTCTGCACGCCGACCGGATTTGGCGAACGTGACAACACCTATTCCTGCGGCCCAATCAGAGAGTGCGCCACTTGGTGGACCTGCGGCGGCGGCGGAGGGTGCCGGGCGGTGCATACCGCTCCAACCCTCCCGATGGGCAAAACGCGAGGCTCTCACCTTGAGGACGGTGAGCGGCGTGCCGGTGCCCCTGCCGCCGCGGAGCCTGAAGCCCCAGGGTCCGCCGCCCGTCAACGTGACAGCGATGCTCCGTGCCTCCGACGCCATGCTACTCCCGCGTCCACTGGCTGGTCCGACGCCGCTCTCCCACGGAAGGGGGGCTACCGCTTCCCCCCGGGCGTATTTTTAGTTCCGCCCGACGACCAGCGAGGGAGGACGCGGTGGCTTGGCGGGGGCTCAAGGCGTGGACTCCGTGTCGTCGGACAGTGGCGGAGCCGGCGCGAGCGCGTGGTTCCGTGTTGACAGGGACCCCGAGACGTGGCCTGGAGTGCCGGCCCGGCTTCTGAGCTGGGTCCCGGGGGGAGGAAGACACGGCGAGCTCCCCGGCAGCCACCCGCACGCCCGCGCTGCGCTCGAGCTCACCCGGGTTAAATTTAGAGCGCGAGGAAACCGAATCGGCGGCGAGAGCGTGCGTCCCTCCACCAACACCGGCCTTAGTGCTCCTGGTTGGGGTGCGGTCAGGATCCGCTTCTGGTGGGTACACGCGCACGTGCGGCCGTGGACTGGGCGTGTTCGAGCTTCCTCGCCGAAGAGGGCTGAGGTCGAATATCTCCAACCTCACTTCGGGGAGGTTATATAGTCCGCTTTCTATCGAGGATGACCGGGGGGAAATCGGGGAAGTTAAATTATTTTACGGTTCAATAGAGGGACAAATGCAGACGGAGCTTCAGTGAAAGAAACAGGTAGAAAGCATCACTTCGTCGTACAGAGGAGGTGATGGTTGGACACGAGCTGCTGCTTCAGCGTCCGGTTGGGATTATTCATGCTCTCACTCATTAAACTCGAGTTCCTGTCGAAAGCCGACGTTAGTGTTAAAAATGTGTCTCTCGCTGGGCCCTCGTAGGTGACCCAGTAAATTCATAGCTCCAGCCTTGCTGTCTACGAGGTGTTGACCTCTCCCTAGCCCTCCAGAACGTTTAAGCCCTCCCTCATGGATGCAAGGTGAACTTCCGACGACCTTGAATACTCGTAGACGTGTCAGGGCAGGCCGGTGCTTCCTAGGATGCCCCGACCTTCGGTGACAAATTGTTGCCGGCAGGAAGACGTTCGGACTTCCTAAACCAGCCCCAGTAGTGGTGTTTTTGTTCCCGTTTCGATGAATTTGGTCATCCGTCCTGTGTTCTTTAGCATCCCACAGACGTGATTACTCGGCAAATAACATAGCGAGATCTTAATAAGTTGGTTGGCAACAACTGAAAACATTTGTCTTAATATTTAAATAAATTGAATGCCTATGTACCTACGGATTGTGGGGCCTTTCCCCACAATGCGAGTCGCATCATGGAGAAGTTTTTATGGTACAGTGACAAATTGTTGCCAGCAGGATCACTTTGCTCTCTATCACGAAATTGTTCGTTCCATCCAAATATTAAGAATAGTTACCCGTTGTAAACTGGCTACGTATTATCTTTCTGTGTCGCTTTGAAGCCAGAAAAATAAAGATATTGCAAAGGTTGTCCTAGGACCCAATGCAAACGATTATGTCGAAACTATGAATAACAAAATATCCGTTCCTAGGGATCTAAATAGCGTTAATTAATTTTGTATTATCACCTGCTATAATTATTTTGGGAAATACGTATAATGATGTCTGCAGTTGGGTTTTACCGAGAAACAAATGCTCCAAAATTTTAGAAAAAAAAAAAAAAAAAAGAAAACAGCCTCAAAGTCGTAACACGGATAAAAACTGAGGAAGAGGACGGGATGAGAGCGCAGGGCGTGTCTTTCGAATGCCCGGCCTCCAGCACGTTTTCCGTCGTGTTTCCCCACGCTCTCCACGCCTTCCGTCGTGCTTCGGCTGAGCGCGCGCGCTCGAGGAGCACGAGACATCGAAGCGTTGAGGGCTCGTGTCCAGTCACGGGAGTCTCATGACCGAGAGCGGTGTGAGCTAACCGTCCGGGGCTCGATGCAAACTCGGACACGGCGCGAGTCTCATGTCCCAGAACGGTGTCCCGGAAGAAATACAAAAATTTTCAAAATGTCTCATATTTCGCATTGTCTTAAAACTCACTACGCAATTCATTGGCGCTGACGAACAACGGGGCACCAGGGAAGCGCGTAGGCCCCTGGCAATCGTGCATGAGTCGCCATGGTACGCCATTTTCTATCCAAGCATTGCGGGAAGCGACCGTCGTTTTTGCAGGAGAACCGACGCGCATGCGCCGTTGTGCCCTTCTCCTTGGTGGCAAAATATTGCGAGGGAAAATTGGTTGAATAAAGAAAGCTGAAAAATAAATTATTGCAAATACTTTCAAATCATTCTGTGTCAATAAAAAAAAATGCTGTAATTCTTTTTTTGTGAGGGCGGTTACACAATCAGAAAGCTTGTAACTTACAACGGTCGAAAAAGAAAATAGCACATAATGGTAGCGGCATGTTAGTAAAGGTATGCCTCGACAAGAAACAATAAGCCAACAACGATTTACCGTTCCCTTTTTTCCTTTTGATCTGTTGGGGTAAATTTTCATGTTTTCAACTTAGACAGTTATAATACAATATTTGGCATTGAAAGAAAAAGAAAGTATCATTGGGAATGGAAATTATTTGAGCTTAATCGCCGCAACACAATTTGCAATTGAATAATATGCTTACGTTCAGCACACGATACTAAATCTGTTAGCAGAGCCACATTTTGTGGTGTGGGTGTTAATAATATTCCTCCAATAGTGTCTTTTTTTTTTGTTTGTTGCCGCAGTCATGATATTATTGCTATTTCCCTTTTTTCTGTAAAAATAGCCTGCAATAGTTTCTCCAACGCACATATACGTATATGATGTCTTCGGCGTTTTAAGAACGGCGAAGCTTGAGAAAAAAGCGAATCAAGATTATGACGCACGTTTACCCAGGCAATATTTCATGTGTTTTTTTTTGTGTTTTTTTTTTTCTAACTGCTTTTGTTTAGATATTTGAAGGTATATTTCGTTCACCTCAAGGATCCATCTATATCAAGATAATATTTGTTTAAAGCGAATTTAGTCGTTCCTTGGCCAAATGATCGCGGTCTTATTAACGCTCGGCTACTTTGCAGAACGGCGAAGGGGACATCACAGGCCCGTTACCCAAGGTCTTTCATCCTCAGTAATACGCGAAAAATCGAGTACGTCATTTACACCAGATCTTCCCTTCTTATGATGTGCCACAAGACACGTCACTTTCCTAATTTTATCTCATACTGCAGGATGGAAATACATACATGCTCAAAGCTCCGATATGTATTATTAAGAAAATTAAGCACGATCACCAGTCCTCTTGTTTTAGTACCGTAGCGCAGAGACGCAATCGCCCCGCAATGGGGAAATAGCATGACAGGAACCTGGAGAAATACAGATTTTTATAAAATTAAACTAAAATATTGATAAGAACACTGAATTAGTTTGATATATAAAAAAGAATAAGAACAAACGTTCAGCCTAGAGCCACTAAATGAGCTGCGCTTAGAGTATCGGCACTCCGTTCCCCGGCGTTGCTGTGGGCGCCGCCATTTTGGCTCGTATGCAGAGCCGACGCAACTGCCGATCGTCATGATTCAAAAGTGCGACTTCCTCAGCATTACATTCGGTGTTAGGAAGGTCATGTAATATTGCTTTGCTCTGTCACGAACTGTCTAAACATTTGTGGAAGACAGAAAAGCGTTTCCTGTGATTTCAGATAATGCTTCAGATTACTGGCCACCATGATTTTAAGACACAATATGGTCAAGTGTCGTTACTCTGAAGCGTAGCTTATTTAGTGGCACTAGTTCAGCCTTTCCACTCTCGTGAAGAAGGAAGACCAGCGGAGCTGTACTCGATACACTGTGTGCTTCTTCTTCGTCTTCTTCTGTTTTTCGCGCTGTTTCCTACGATGAACTCCCACCAACGCGCCCAACTATCCATTCTTCTATTATAGCTGGAAAGGTTGCCGCCATCAACGAGAGACGGCGGAAACCATACTGGTTGTGTGCTTGCCGCCGTCGCTATAGATGGCGGTAGCTGTCCAGGTAGGTTTGTGTCGACATACACGGACACTATCCGGAACCTAGCCCTTAACAGCTCCGCTGTAAAAAGCGTAAAAAGCAGGTACCTAATTGTGTCCAAACACTCGAGAGTCTTTTTTGCCTGTTGTATGTGGACACGTGGACACCGTGATGTTGACGAACCCAAAGCATATGCGCGTAGACTTGCGCATGCCCACGCAGATAGTTTTGTTTATTTGATACCACCTAGTCATCTTCCAATTACCTTTTAATAATTCATTTGGTGTTATCGAGCTTATAGGACACACATATCTGCTCATAAAGAAGAGTGCGCGTCCGTCAAAGCCATCTAATTACTGGTGTAACGCCAGTAACGTGGTGTTACCACTGTTGCACAAATCTTGCAAAAAGCAGAGAGCACAAGATTCCTTGTCTAAAAACTCTCATGTGTGTCGCCGCTGGGACAGTCGGAGGCTTTGAAACGTCAGAGGCCACTGTTTGTTTATTTAATTATTTTTTGGTACTTCGAGGCACTCCCTGTGCCTCGAAGAGCTTGTAACACCTTACAGTGAGGATGAAGCGTGCGCGGAAATTATTCTAGATGCAGTAAAAAGTAGCACTTCCATTCGAAAGCTTGAAATGTCTGCGGACTGCAACAGTAGTGAGATGGTTAGCACACCACATCGCGGACATGCTCAAGGTCAAGAATGTTCTCGAGATCTTGAGCGTAGCGTCGTACAGCATCGACTGCAAGGGTGTGTCGGCAATTGCAGAAGTGCTAAGGACGAATGCTGCCCTCAAGGAACTAAACATGGACTTTGCGATCATTGCAAGCTGGGGAGCTATAGCGGTTGCAGACTCGATAAAAAGGAACAAGACGCTGGAGAGGCTATGATTGGGGCTGAGAGGGATGTGTTGTGCAATGCCAAAGCATTTGCACTCACACTCGAACGGAACACTAGCCTTCTTATGGTTCATCTCTCGACCAGCTACATAAACAGAGGAAGACAGCAACTTACAAGCGATTCTGACGTCGAACGGTGCTTGCAAGAGACGAAACATCACGTGGAATAACGTGGGGTCAGCGCAGCTTGGCATGTTGAGAGCAGTGCCATAAAAAAATGTATATCAACCTCGACCCGGATGTAGGTGTGAAGGGTCTGGACAGCGTCTTTGACTCGGTGCAACGCAACATGCATGTAACGCGCCTGTGCATAGAAAAAGTGGGGAAGCTTCCGAAGGCGAGCGTCGCAGATCTTGCGCTGGCGCTCCTCCACTCGAAGAGTTTGAAGACCGTGGAGTTCATTAATACGATCGGGCTTGTCTCGGTTATTGATCTACTCAAATTGAACGAGAGCATCACGCGGATGGACTTCGGTGAGTTTGATGTGGGATGCTATGGTGAAGAAGTGGAACATCTTGCAAAGGTGTTGAGGGTCAACCGGAATCTACACTGGCTTCTCTTTGTTAACGGTGCGTCGCTGCATCAATATCTAGAGGTTATTGCTAAAGTGATGTCGACGAATGAC